CTTATCATCCCTCTGAATTCCCTCCATTCCTTGTGCCTCCCTTTCCTTTAGGTGTTAAATTCTGTCTCCAGGATTTCTCTCAGGACAATCATGCCTCATCCACGTGCTTTCATCCTCATTTCCAGCTCTTCACTGGGCTCAAGTCTGGCCCCCCTGTCCCGTCCATGAAAATGTCAGTTTCATCTTGCACTTTTATAAAAGTAATTGTATCCATGACTCCGCTCACAGACCTAAGCCAGACAATAGTGCATGCACTAAGAGTCGATGTGGCTTCTCACCTCTTTCCCAGGTTTTTCATTTCTCTGGTCCTTGCTGTCCTTCCCTCAGCAATCACAAGACCTTTCCTAGATAATCTTTTCATTGTCATTTTTCCCACTGACCCTCCCCAGACCCGAGAAGGATGGGGCAGCCACTGGAGTGGATGCCATCTGCACCCACCGCCTTGACCCCAAAAGCCCTGGACTCAACAGGGAGCAGCTGTACTGGGAGCTAAGCAAGCTGACCAATGGCATTGATGAGCTGGGCCCCTACACCCTGGACAGGAACAGTCTCTATGTCAATGGTGAGTGACTGTGATGTGGTTAAAATCTCTTCCCCCTTGCCGGGCAGCCTCTAATCTCTAATTAGAGGTCACGCTCCCTGCCTGGCTTTTGAAAATTCTGTCATATGCTCTACATGGGATGACTGAGGTCTGAACTTCATGGTTTCGTTATCATTGTGGACTGTGTTCCTTCAGGGCATTCTTTCCTGATGTGAAGATGCTGATAGGAAATCTTCAATGGTCCCTGTACCATGAAACTCAGTTCATTGCACCAGGGTAGCATTGACCTCCATTTGGTCCCCCACCTCTCCTGTCTCTTACCCACTCTCCTCCCTCCTTCTCTTTGCAGGTTTCACCCATCGGAGCTCTGTGTCCACCACCAGCAGTGAGTATTCAACTCATGTCCAAATGCCCCGGTTCCTACACCAAGAGGAGCAGGAGCTGGCCCCTCCTCATAAACCCATAAGTCCTCTTCATGAGCAAACAAGTTAGGAGGGCAGAAGTTATTCAAGCGCCCCTCTGCCCAGCTCAAGACACCACTCCAGCTCAAGCCACACATGCAACAAACCCCATAAATAGTCTCCCCTCTTGCCATTTCTGCCAAGAGAGTGCTTTCTGCTTTCACTGACGAGGAATTTTCCTCAGCTCCTGGGACCTCCATAGTGGATTTTGGAACCTCAGGGACTCCATCCTCCCTCTCCAGCCCCACGAGTAAGTATCAGTCAATGACATATCTATGAGAGTGTGCCTGATTAGTGTAAATATCTCTGTCATTTTCACTCAAATAAAGATGGAAAATCAAAGTAAATCTAGTGATAGTGAGTGGATAAATTTGTTTTGGCCACCTACTGTGTACCAGACTCCAGGAATACAGTGAGAAAAAGAAAATCAATTTTAAAACAACCTATGTCCTCAGTGAGCTTGTATTCTTGTGATGATGATGATGGTGGTGATAGTTATGATGGTAATAATGATGTGTTGAGTGGGATGATGATGGTGGTGGTGGTGACATTGTTTATGATGATGATGATGATGATGATGATGATGATGGTCATACTGTTGATGATTGTGGTAGTGATGTTGATGATGATGGTGATGGTGACGAGGATGATGCTGGTGATGGTAGTAGAGGTTATGATGGTAATTATGATGTATTGAGTGAGATGATGATAGTGGTAGTGTTGCTGTTTATAATGATGATAGTGGTGATCTTGATGATGGTGGTAGTGATGTTGATGACAATGATGATGGTGATGAGGATGATTCTGGTGGTGGTGGTGGGGTTATGATGGCAATGATGATGTGTTGAGAGTGATGATGTTTGTGGTGGTCATGGTGGGGATTATCATGGTGGTGATAACAGTGGCGATGATGATAATAATGATGGTGATGGTGACAATCTTGGTGATGGTGATGATGGTGACAATAAAGTTAACAGAAAATGTCAGACAGTATTGAGCAATACGTATTCACCAAAAGCTATGCTTAGCATCTACTATTACATCATACACTTTTATAAAAGTAAATTGTATTATTATAGGCAAGGGAGACATGGTAAATATTTTGTCGCTCAATTTAAATTCTATATATATTGAAAGATAAGTCTCTTGCAAACTGGTATTTTCTCTGCTTTGAACATAGTGTTTATTTCCCATTCCAACTACAGTCATTGGCCCTCTCCTGGTGCCGTTCACCCTCAACTTCACTATCACCAACCTGCAGTACGAGGAGGACATGCATCACCCTGGCTCCAGGAAGTTCAACACCACAGAGAGGGTCCTGCAGGGTCTGGTGAGAGCCCTACCCACTTTATTCCTGCCCCTCCCCAAATACCCAGTCCCTCCTACATCATCCAAGCCAGAACTGTGGAAGAAGATTGCACCCATCTCACCCTTGCCTGCAAAGGATGCAAGCCTTGCTCACTGAGGCCAGCCTCGCCCACTGGTGCCTGCTCCACACACCTGACTTCTGCCCCCCCAACACACACCTTAGCCCTCCTACTCTCTTTCCTCTCCTTCCTTCACAGCTTGGCCCTGTATTCAAGAACACTAGTGTTGGCCCTGTGTACTCTGGCTGCAGACTGACCTCTCTCAGGTGAGACCTTAGAAGATCCAGCCTGGCTGCCCCAATTGTTTCCACTCCAATAGACTTTGCACTGCCTCCTTGCTGCACCTCCTAGGGATATCCTCACCAAAAGGGGAATGCAGGAGTCACTGGCTTCAGGACCAATGTGTTTCCTGATAGTAACACCCCCACACCCCACCTCAACAGGGAGAATCTGCATGGTCCATCATCAGGATTGAGCCTCTACCCTGATGATCCTTCTGAATTCCCTCCTTTCCCTGCCACTCCCTTTCATTTAGGTGTTAAATTCTGTCCCTAGAATTTCTCCCAAGACAATCATGCCTCATCCATGTGCTTTCATCCCCATTTCCAGCTCTTCACTGGACTCAAGTCTGGGCTCTCCTGTCCCCATGTCATGAGAATGTAGGTTTCACCTTGCACTTTGATAAGCATGGTTGTATCTGTGATTCTGCTCACAGTTCCAAGCAAGACAATAGTCAGTGCACTCAGAAAATCTAGGTGTGGCTTCTCACCTCTTTCCCAGGTTTCTCATTTCCTCTGGTTCCTTGACATGTTTCCCTCAGCAATCTCAAGACAAGTCCTGGTACTCTTTTCATTGTCATTCCTCCTCCTACCTTCCCCAGGTCCGAGAAGGATGGAGCAGCCACTGGAGTGGATGCCATCTGCACCCACCATCTTGACCCCAAAAGCCCTGGACTCAACAGAGAGCAGCTGTACTGGGAGCTGAGCCAACTGACCAATGGTATCAAAGAGCTGGGCCCCTACACCCTGGACAGTAACAGTCTCTATGTCAATGGTGAGCAGCTGTGATGTGGTTGGAGTTTTTTCCCTCTAGAATCTGGGAAGAATCTAATCTCTGGCTTGAAGTCACACTCCCTGCCTGGTCATTGAATAGTCTGTCGTTTGCTCTACATGGGATGACTAAGTTCTGGACTTCACAGTTTCTTCATTATCATGAACTGTGTTCCCTCAGGGCACTCTTCCCTGTTGTGAGGATGCTGATAGGAATTCTTTAATGGCCTCAGTCCCATGAAACTCTTTTAATTGCACCAGGATTGCCATGGCCCCTATTGTACCCCCCACATCTCCTTAACCCTTACCCAGTCTCCTCCCTCCTTCTCTATGCAGGTTTCACCCATCGGACCTCTGTGTCCACCACCAGCAGTGAGTATTCAACTCATGTCCAGACACCCTTGATCCTACATCAAGTGGAGCAGGAGCTGGCCCCTCCTCCTAAACCCATAAGTCCTCCTCTTGAGCAATGGAGCTGGGAAGGCAGAAGTTATTGAAGCTCCCCTCCACCCCAGCTCCAAAGACAGACCCAGCTGAAGCCCACATGCAGCAGACCTCATAATAGTCTAACTTCTTGCCATTTCTGCCATGAGATTATTTTCTGCTTTCAATGATAAGGATTTTTTTCTCAGCTCCTGGGACCTCCACAGTGGCCTTTGGAACCTCAGGGACTCCATCCTTCCTCCCAAGCCCCACAGGTAAGTACCAGTCAATGGCATCTCCCTTAGATTATGCCTGATGAATGTGAACGTATGTGCCATTTTCACTCAAATGAAGATGGAAAATCATAGTAAATCCAGTGATACTGAGTGAACCAAAATTTTATTGGCCACCTACAGTGTACCAGAGCTTAGAGATACAAGGAAAACAAAACGAATAAAAGCATCTTTGCCCTCAGTGAGCTTGTGTTCATGTGATGATGATGATGGTGGTGGTGGTTATGACAGTAATAATGACAGGTTGAGTGTGATGATGATTGATGATGGTAGTGATGCTGTTGATGACGATGGTGGTGATGTTACTGACAATGATGGTGATGGACATAAGGATGTTGTCAGTGATGGTTGTGAAGGTTATGATGGTAGTGATGATGTGTTGAGTGTGATGATGATGATGATGATGGTGGTGGTGCTGTTTATGATGGTGAAAATGATAGTAACGATGACAATGACCAGCCATCATAAATATAACAGATAACATCAGACAATATTGAGCACTGAATATGCATGAATACTTATGCTCAGCATCTAACTACTATTATATAATCTACTTTTATAAAAATAAATTGTATTATTATAGGCAAGGAAGACATGGTAAATATTTTCTCTCTCAATTTAAATTTTGCGCATGTTTAAAGATAAGTCTATTCCAAACCCCCATTTCTTGACTTTGAACATAGTGTTTATTTTCAATTCCCACTACAGCTGCTGGCCCTCTCCTGGTGCCTTTCACCCTCAACTTCACCATCACCAACCTAAAGTATGAGGAGGACATGCGTCACCCTGGTTCCAGGAAGTTCAACACCACAGAGAGGGTCTTGCAGAATTTGGTTAGTGCCCTGCCCTCCTGACTCTGCCCGGCCCCAGATATCCAGTCCCTTCTACATCATCCATGCCAGGGTGATAAAAGAAGATAGCACCAACTTCACCCTTCCC